TAAAACACTATCAGGTTCAGATAGAGACAGATGGTACAGGTAAACACTTTCACTAGCCAGCACTGTCCTCCTTCCATAGCAGCTGGTCTCAACTGAAAGGCCATTTTTTTATGGTTTCCATACTTATCTCAATATTTGCATTATACACAGTAATACCTTACTTCCTGGTAACCTCTCTTGAACACACATCCTCAATAAAGTTATTAACTGTAACACCAAGGCTGATTTTCTCATTCTTTCTACAGCACCTTAACCTGAAATATACACTTCAGGCTTTTGCTACCACACCTCAAACATTTTCTCCCAAATACAGTTTCCTCCAGGGCTCACAATAAGGCCTCCCAATCAGCACACACCAACACTAGTTAACATAAAAGAAGCCAGGCTTAAAGGTGGACTTATAGCCATTCACTGTGCAACTCAGGCCAGATGGCTTGCAAATCACCAAGCACAAAAACTCAATCAAAAACTTCCGTAAGATAAACTGTAACATCCAGAAAAATGCTTCTGAAGTCAGCTCACAACAAAATAATCTCCAGGTAGAAGTACTGCTTCTCCAGACACCTAAGACTCAGGAAGGGCTTTGCATCGAGGTGGTTCTCCTGGAATTAAGAAGGGAATCATTTGACTCTTGGTGGATTGATAAGAATTTCAAAACCCGAGGAGGCATTTTCCCTTACCCCATGTTTCAAGCAGAAACAGCATACCTCCAAGTATTGCTTCTGCAGTGATAAGAAAACGAGGAGACCCATCTGAACTACCATCAGGTGTCTGAAACCATTCAGGAGGAAATGGACTTGTCCGACATCCTGAAAACACCAGACACAATGTTTTCCCTTTCTGTGGCCATTAAGATAAACAGTATTGCACAAAAAACCGTTAGCGTCGCTTCAGAAATTCTATTTACCTTGCACTCATTTAATTTTAAAAGCTTAATATTTTATCATATTTTACTATCTATATATGTAAAGAAGCATTTGCAGAGAACCGAGTAAAATGAGTCCAAGCTAATTTACTCTAGGCAGACTCACTCAGCCAAGATATCGTAAGATACAGTCACTAAATAACACATCACACAAGCAATCTGGTCATAATGCTTTGCCTAAAATGCTTTAGCAATTTATAAAACACAGTATTGAACCATCTATAGTTAAGTATAAAAAGTTTATCACGGTCTTTAAACAATAAAGTAGTGAGGCAAGTCCAATGAACATCCGCTAAGATCAAATGGAGTATGAAAATAGGAAGTTTGATCTTAAAGGTATTCAAAAACATACGAGCATCTACGTTCCTCTTTGGAAGAAATTTTCTCATGTCACTAGAAGAAAAAAAATTAATAGAGGGAACTCTGTTCTTTCTTCCTTTTAGCAGCCCAAAATG